GGGGGTATTTCGACAAAGCGCAAAGAAGACGTGGATTGCATATTATTTTATATTGAATTCACTTACTTGATGAACAGTCGTATTAAAGAGTTTGTCCTTTTTATCAGCTTTGATTTTGTTATAGATCAATGATTTATCTCTTTCGTGTTTTGGCTCAGCTAAAGAAAAAAAAAACAAGAAAAAAAGACTGTCAGCTGGTATCGAAAAATTAGATTTAAAAGTACCGTTTTACTAAGCTAGTTATTTCTCGGTTTCTATGTGTGTCAAAGAAAATCTCGTACATACCTGTGGTACATACGGTATTCAGTTCAATTTTACATCACGTTTATTAGAACAACTGAAAATAGAAAAAGGATCCTCTTGATTAATAAAATTGTTGGCTTATTTCATCATCAATTTGTGTGATTTGTTCGACTGTTGAGAGTTCATACCCCATGCATTTTAATCACTTAATTTGCGATATGGAGCAGATCTAGATTCTTCTATAAATATTGGGGGGGGGGAGGGTTTCTTGGTTTGTTTTTTCTTCTACAGAAAGTTAACTTTAAAAAACAGTTTGGAGGCTGTTAATGTACACCGTACTGCCTTACATGTGCGGTGAAAAATTTGTAGAGCAACAAATTGTCAAATATGGAAAATATATTTGACAATTTGTTGCTCTACAAATTTTTCACCGCACATGTAAGGCAATACGGTGTACATTAACAGCCTCCAAACAGTTTTTTAAAGTTTAACTTTCTGTAGAAGAAAAAAAAACCCAAAATTTATAGAAGAATCTAGATCTGCTCCATATTTTCTCTTTTCTCTTTTTCTTTACTTTTCTCTTCATACTGGCAATTGACTGGGTCACGGAAAGAAGCCACCAGAGGCAAACGTAATGGAATACAATGGATCCCTTGGCAGCAGCTGGGCGACTTAGACTTCGCCGATGACCTTGCATTGCTCTCTCACACACATGCTCAGATGCAAGAAAAGACCAAGGAACTCAACAGTCTATCAAGGAGTATTGGCCTACGTATACATCCAGGCAAGTCAAAAGTAGTGAAGCTAGGAAAAGTTTCAAACCTTGCTGTGACAGTGGAAGACACTCCCCTGGAAGAAGTGGACTCCTTTACATACCTCGGAAGTGTCATCGATGGTAAAGGTGGAACCGAGGCAGACGTTAAAGCAAGAACCGCCAAGGCAAGGTCAGCCTTCAAGCAATTATCAAAAGTCTGGAAAGCAAGCAACATCTCACTGTGCACCAAGATTCGACTTTTTAACTCCAACGTCAAGTCTGTGCTCCTCTACGGCATCGAAATTTGGAAGACAACGAAGACAGTGCTGAATAAAGTCCAAACTTTCATCAACAGATGTATGAGGAGTATTCTAAGAATTAAGTGGCAGGATAGAATAATAAATGAAGAGCTGTGGGAAAGGACAGGACAAAAGGATATAGAAGTAGAAATAGGACTAAGAAAGTGGCGATGGATGGGACACACCTTAAGAAAGCCCAGCGGAAACATCACAAGACAGTCACTGCAGTGGAACCTACAAGGAGCACGAGGCAGGGGTAGGCCACGGGAAACATGGAGGAGATGCCGGGAAAGGGACATGAGAGAAATGAAGCTCACTTGGAACGAGCTTGGAAGAATGGCTCAGGACAGAGATAACTGGAAGGAGCTTGTATGTGGCCTATACCCTGCCAGGGGTGAAAGGCATTGATGATGATGATGATGATGATGATGATGATGATGATGAAATTGTCAAATATTTCCTCAACCATCAAACAAAACTCTCCAGCTTTTGCACTATGACTTGTAACAATAATTTGTCTTAACAGGTAAATATTTTTGTAAACACCTGTTACATGTATTCTAGAATATTACTTAATAATTAATGCTAATTAGAATTCCAGTGGGTGCTTTCTGCAGATTTTTAAAGGTTCACAGCTGGGTCATATGGCTTTAAAAGCAAGTCCGCATTTATTTTTTTAATTGCAACATTAAATTCGAGAACCTTTAGAGCAAAAAGAGGGTTCTCAAAAAATAAATGTTTGGTAGTAGGTTTTTTCCACTAAAAATTATCAGCGTTTAGACGTGACATTAGCCATTATATGCGCATACAAAAAGTGTCTGAAAAGCGGGAAGTGCTGTGAACGATCCAATGTTCCGCCTGACGGAGATCTATAGTATTTCATATAAATTTATGAAAAAGAGGGGTTTTTTAAAATTCTAGCTCAAGTTCGTTGTGGGAAAAGATATGATTAAGTTAAGACAAATTGATTTTATCTGCGGTGCAAAGTATGGGTGACATTTTTCCACCCGTTAAAGAGATGTGTGAGGATAGGTTACGCGCGGATTTTTGACTTTACAATAGTTTGTTTTTTTGTTGTTGTTGTTTCTTTTGTCTTGGGTTTTGCTATAGTATGTTCTATATTTTTATGGAAAAAACAACAAACAAACAAACAACCACACTATGGATTGTCAATCACATAACAAAATTGATTAAGTAACTGGTGTAAAGCTCAATGCCTCTTAGTCGCTACGAGAAAATTTTAGGAAGCTCGTTTTGTAAATCACCATAATACGGAACCCTATACCAAACACAAACGATTTTTATGCCATCGTTTTTAAAAAGGTTTTTAAACTTATGCCTGTTATACATGTCTGTATTACTGCTTTAGAAAATCTGTATGTAGTTTTCCATTGCTCAATGAGTATTCATCCAGTTCGGCCCACAACATTACGTGTGATTGCAGTTTGTTCCCCTGTGAAATTAAGTTTTGTCACCCTCGGATAAATCATAAATGTTTCTCTCTTCTTCTTAGTTATCGGCATGGCAGGTTTCTGTTTTGTGTTCTTAAAATCTAATTATTGCTACATTTTAATAAGAGCTTGACGGCACTGCCACGCAAATAGGTCATATAAGTGCCAAAGATTAGAAATGTTAAAGAAAGTAACAGATACTTAAAAGAAGGTGGAGAGATAATGAAGACAGACGTTTGATGGGAAAGAATGAGCAAACTACACCAGAGTACCGTTCCATGGTAGCTATGTCATGGTCGTGACATTTTGACCCAAATAAAAAAAAGAAAGGCGAATCAAGTATTGTACTTTAACTCTACTCACGCACTCATTCTCCCCTTTTCCCCATGGGTTTTGCAGTCTTTCTGTTTGCCTTTTAGTCGGTTTGTCTGTCTCTGTATGTATCTGTCTGTCTGCTCGCTTTCTCTCTCTCTCTCTCTCTCTCTCTCTCTCTCTCTCTCTCTCTCTCTGTGTGTGTGTGTGTGTGTGTGTGTGTGTGTGCGTATGTGTCCCTCTCTCCCTCCCTCCCTTTCTCCACTCTCTCTCTCTCTCTCTCTCTCTCTCTCTCTCTCTCTCTCTCTCTCTCTCTCTCTCTCTCTCTCTCTGTCTTTTTCTCTTTCCCTCTCTCCTCTTTCTCATTTTATCTCTCTGTGCGTATGTGTGTGTGTTTGTGTACGAGTGTGTTAGCGTGTGTGTGTATGTGTGTGTGTGTGTGTGTGTGTGTGTGTGTGTGTGTGTGTGTGTGTGCGTGTGTGCGTGTGCCTGTCTGTCTGTCTGTCTATATGTACGTGTACCTATAGGTTCGTGAGTGATTTCGTGTATATGAATGTGCGTATAAATATTGTATTGAGGCTTCATTTTCCAATAATTTATCAACTTGTCATAAGATCTGTTTTATCATTCTGACTCTCCCAATTATTTTCTGACCTTTAAAATTGATTCTGTTAGGACCTGGGTTGTTTTGAGGAATTTTTCAGACTCTTCACCCATTTTGCTCTGTACTGTCAGAGATGGACATTGAATTCGGAGGACCGCCTGTTAAATGACCTTACAGTGTTGACATTCGCTTTCAACCAATACAGTAACCATCGGCTCTGAGGAAGAGTGTGAACAGTTATAACCAGTTAATTATTCATTTGTTCATTTTATAAGGGGGCCGGGGGTTGTTTGTTTGCTTGTCTGTTTGTTTTGGGGTGGGGGGGGTTTATATTGTTGCTGGTTCTTTTTTTTCCTTTTTTCTTTATCTCTTGAAAGCAAAATTTCTGTACTTACCATTTCAACATAAAAAGGGACGAAATCGTCACGAAAGCAAATAACTCCAGAAACATCAGTACTTTGATTACTCTTAGTATG